GGCGGGACCGCCGAGTGCGCGGTGCTTGCATTAACTGTGGTGAATACGGACACACCCAGTATAAGTGCAAGAACGCAAAGGTCACGTAGAAGATACCCCCTAAGGGAGGGGTGCCTTCTTCCAAGGCTTCGAGCTTGGGAAACACTTGAGGCCAGTGGAAGTTTTAGCTGCTTCTACTCATGGTGAAGTGGGACAGATACCCTCCCCACTTTATGAGATGGCCATAGCTAATGACTCTTTAGTCACTCTGCAAACTCATCTAGACCAAACTATGCTCTGAGGCCTTAGAAGATTTAGAAAGTGAGTGGTCAAGCAAGGACCCTCGCGAATCTTGGGTGGCACTAAGTAGAGGTCCTAAAGGGGAACACTTCATCGTGGAAGTTCAAGTTGTTGTAGGAGGCCGCAAATGTGGTGCCTTCGTAGACATCGGCTCCACGCGGAATTATATAAATCGCGACTGTTTGGAAAGGCTGCACCTAGAGGACCGGGTACAGCGCCTTAGTGGACCGGTAGCATCTACTTTGGCCAACAAGGAGCGCATGGTAGTGTCAGACTATGTCAAGGATGTAGTTTGCACCTTCTCCTATGGAGAATGGAAACTTAATCACAAGATTCCGTTCGTGGTTAGTGACGACTTACTGTTCGACATGTTGTTAGGAATGTACTACCTTGAGGTTGCCAAGCCCCAGTTTGACTGGGACAAGAAGGTGCTCAAGCATGAGTTGCCTGATACCACTAGTACACTCCCTGCAACGTGCGTCTAGCTACCCTGGCCTAGAGCAAGGGCTATCTGCCTATTTTGCATGTTCGGCCTGTGGGACTAGGTCGTGGCCTGACCCCACACCCCGTGTGCTCATTCAGTCCAGTCCAGCCCTGCCCGGTACCACTAACGGTACCAGGCTAGTCTAGTCCAGTCCAGTCAGTTTACTGGGTGTATACCCCAGTTGCAGTGTGTTTATGTCTCATTCTTCATTTGCACAGTTTGGGGTATGTGCATGTTGAGTCTGCGTTGGAGTTGTGTTGTCTCTTCCAGCTCCATCTCCATCTCCCCCATCCTCATCCCTTCGTCTTGATCCTGATGGACCGCCATCCCGATGGGTCCGTCACAGTGGTATCAGAGCAGGAGCGACCCTGCTAGGCTGCTCCCACCCACGCCATCGGCTAAGGCCAAGGCCGCAACACACGCACACGCACGCGCCACGCCCCCATGCTGCCCATGCTTCCCCCCCCCGCCCCGCTCCCGTATTATATTATATCAATATCTGGGAGTACAACTGCTAGGATTTGAACCTCGACAGCTGTCAGGCATGAATGTGCGTAGCCAATGCCTTAACACACTGGCCGAACTGTATCCATGTCCCTGTAATGTGGCATATCGGTGTTGAATTGTGTCGTGCCAACTATTCCCCCCCCCCCCGTCGGCGAGCGGCGGGCAATGGCCGGCAAGACAGTAGCGTCGTGATTGCTACTGCCTGCACACGTGACCATCTACAATGCCACGTGGAAGCTTGCTGAAGATCTGGAAGATCCCCCCGCCTAGTGGGCTGCAGTACAGTGGGATCTAGGTGGATGATCAAGATCTCAACACACCCAAATAATAATGATTATTATTATTATTTGTGGCAATTTGGCAGGAGTGAAGACCCCCCTGGATAGGGGGATGGACAACTGTGCAATCAAGGTGGGTGATCAAGATCTCAGCCAACCCCTGATTATCATCATTATTTATTTTTTTGCTACGGCAGCAGGCCAGAAGCACCTTGAAGACCAAGATCATGTGGATCTTGGTAGTGTTCTCTGCTCTTGGTCACCCAAGAGCTTGGTATAACCTACCTAACCACTAACCTACTCTCCCCAAACCCCTTTTCTTTCCTCTCCCCCCATCATCTAATAATTTTTTCTAACTCTACCACTACTCCCTCATCCTACCTCACTCTTCTCTTTTTTTTTCCCTACTTCTCTCCTCTCCTTCCCACTGTTTTTTCATACCCCTCCCTCTTCACTTATCATGCACCGTTTTTTGCTCCCCTCTCCTCCCCACTCACCCTCTTCCACTAATCTTTCCTTCTATTTTCCATCGTTCTCATCCTTTTCTCTCCCATTCTCTCACCTTCCTCCCCCCCTTCCTCCCCCAACTACAACCCTATTATCTCCCCACCTCCCACTTCAATTTTTTTCCCTTTCTTACCTATTTCTCTCTTTCTTCATCACTTTTTCATTCCCCCCTCCCCAACCTCGAATTTTTCTGTTTTTGTTTTCTTTTTCTGTCTTTTTCTTTGATTTATTTACCTTGCAAGGAACATGAATATGGACGAAGCACAGAAATCCCCATTGCAAATCACAACTGAAGTCCAAGTAGTCAAAGCAAGAGCAGATAGCACATTGGAACCAATACACCATCCATTTGAGAACGATACAGTAAAACGTGAGTCAATGTCCAAGCCCAATCGGGCAACACCAACAACATAACCCAATGTAGCTCTCTCTCTTGAATGGCGTCAGACGCCCTATCTACCCTACAGCCTATCCTACAACTACAGCATGGAAGCAACCAGACGACTTGACGACCAGCGAGTGATGACGTCAACACCAATGCGGACCTCCTCTCCCCCAGGTACGTCTCTCTCTCTCCTCCCTCACTCTTCCTTGTTATCCCACAAAGCGCCCTTCACCTCTGAAGAACCACCTTCGCCCTCACCTCCTTCAGCACTCTCATGCAGCCCGGCTATGGCTGCCAGCGCCCTGCGCCCAGGCTGCGCCCTACCGCTTAGCGCCAGCCTGCCTACTCTCAGCCTAGCGCAGCGCAGCACCTCGCAATGCCACAGCGTGCTGGCCTTGCTCACAATGGCCAAGATCCCTGCCCACTCGCCCGCTCTGCCTATATGCCTGTGTCTCGTGTGGGCGGTCTACCTCGAGCCTGCGCCTAGGCCCCAGTATCTGCGCCCAAGCCCAATGCAGATCGGGCCCAGGTAATACAGTTGCGCCCCTTAGGTTAGGGTCGTTGTCCATATTCAGACCCCGTACCGGTTTCCCATTGGTTTCCTCGGCCTCTACAACAAAATACTGCTTTTCCATAGGCCAGGGACCAATGTGTGATGTGTCGGTCTCCCAGACTATCGCCCAGGACTCAACCAACCCTGGCCCTAGGCTCAACTGCCTTTGCAGGAGTCGGAGGCTCACGATGCACTTCAACCAACTGGAGTGCGGCAACTGTCTGATACCCACTTTGGGAAATGCTGAATGAAGGTCACTCGTGGATATTCTGGCCCGCCTTCACTTAGGGCGGGCACGAGGCTTGCTGGGGCCTATGCCCAGAACATATGCATGTCCGCAAGGCCCCGTTGAGGGCTCAATCCTCACATTCCATCCCCCTTCGCTTCGAAAGTCCGCTGAGATGCTTACTTCGCAGGTGCCTTCCCCTTTAGCTGCCTTTCATATTCAACTACCACCTGAGGTGTTGTTTTAATGAGTTCCTATCTGGTGAGCCACCGATCTTCTTTCGGATCTGTGTGATGCCTGAATCTGACTCTGTATTCTCTCTTGGGTTTTGGAGGTCTTCCTCTACCAAGAGGTCTGGGAACAGGCATGTCTCTGTGTTCCAGAATGTCGTCGATGTCCACGTGGCCATCCATGGTTGGGGGCAGCATTGATCTCCATGAAGGAAATTGATCTGTCTCAACGAAAGGTGCAAGCTTTGAGGCGTGAAAAACAGGGTAAATGCGAAGGTGACCAGGGATTTAGATAACATAGGAAGGACCATCCAGGTCATCCCCAACTACGTCCAAGACTTCCCAAGGACCGAAATACTGTGGCATTAGTTTAGGAGAGATTCCGACTTCCTGTCCTAACTCACTAGCCTTGACCCAGACACGTTCCCCTACCTGAAATGTGGACTGTCGACGATGTTTGTTCTCAGAAGCAATCATTGCTTCCTGAGATTTCCTGATGTGCTCGACAGCTTGCTGCAACAACTTCTCATACTGCACACCATACTCAAGTGTGCCCGGTGTTGCAGAGGGTCGGTTTTCAGGCAGGAGGAAGTCCAGCGCTGATCTAGGCTTCCATCCTAAGTGCAACTGGTCACGGTTAGGACTGACGCCGGTACTGTTGTGTACAGCGTTGTTGTACAAGCTGACAATGAGAGGCAATTTCTCATCCCAGTCGTCCTGGTTGGGCTTGATGTAATGCCTCAGCAGATGTTGTACAACTTTGTTCATCTGTTCGGCCTGTCCGTTGGCTTCGGGATGATTCCCAGAAGGCATTTGAAGTTGACTGCCTAATTGCTCAGCAGTCTTCTTTCACAACTCACTTGTAAAGCGAACATCTCTGTCACTAACGATTGACTTTGGCAATCCGAAATCACGCACTCAGTTGTCCATGAAGAGCTTGATGACGTGCTCAGTTCTCGCAGTCTCTGTCATGGCAATCAGTCTAGCGAACTTGGTAAACCTGTCTATGATAACAAAGATATGTCTCTTGCCACTCCTGCTGGTGACCAGGGTGTCCATGAAATCCATGGAGATAATCTGTCCCGGTCCAGCGGGAATGGGCAAGGGCTTCAGCAACCCAACTGGTGCTTGGGTTCTTGGCTTGTCTCGCTGACAGACCTGGCAGGTCTGCACATACATCTTTGCATCGTCTAGCATACCGGACCACCAAAATCGTTGTATCAAATTAGCACTTGTCTTTTTGTAGCCAAAATGTCCCATTGCATCATGACATTCTCCTAAAAACAAATTGCGCAAATTCTCCCTAGCAGGAATCACTAATCTATTATTACCAGCCTTTTCCATAAAGATTAACCCATCCACCATCACAAACCCATCTTTTGTGGCCTTGTCTTTAGCCTGCAGTTTGCGGATGATGTCCATCGTGATAGGGTCTTCCTGATAGGCTTCCACCAACGATCGAGTTACTTCTTCTGATATGCCGAATTCATAAACTACGGTATGATGGCCGAATAGAGGGCCGAGCTAATGAAGCTCGCGTACCCAGTAATGCCTGATACCAAGGAGCAGGGAGAGGGGTGAAGCGACTTAACTCGTCAGCAAAAGAGTACAGTTGTATTCTTGGAATGATCCCTTCAACCGTTATAATAGAAGAAGAGCGGGAAAAGCCACGGCCTGAGCGAACGGAAGCCGAACTGACGGAAAGGGCGGGGGTGAAGAAGAAAACGGGAGAGGGCAAAGTTGAGGAGGACTGCGAGGCAGGGATGGTAAAGGCGGGAAGCTGAAAATATTTAAAATTTTGAATTCTGGTAGCTCGGGAAGACGGAGCCAAAAGAGAAAGCGGGAGGGGACAAAATCGGGGGAGACTGCGAGAGGGGGAGTGACTTCGATCATAGGAGTTAGCGAAAGGAAGGCTGCGATTAGGAGAAGAAAACCGAGGCAAACAGGAAAGGTAAGGGCGGGAAGTTTAAAAAATTGGTGGCTCAGAAGGTGGAGGCGGAATCCTAGTATGAAGGGGGAGGGGAAAGAGTATAAAAGAAAAAAGGAGAGAGAGAAAGGGGGGGATCCTAACGCACATATGAACTAGCGTCCGGTGGACGTAGTGAACGGCGTAGCGCTGTGCTCGTCATCGTGAGAGTGAACGAGAGAGAGGAACAAGGAGAAAGATAGATAGGGTGCACGTCATCAAAGAGAGCGGGAGAGAGAGAGGAACAGAGAGGGATAGGAACAGGGGGAAGGAGAGTGAGGGCGCACATCGTCAGAGAGAGAGCGGGAGAGAGAGGAAGGGAGAGTGATAAGAACAGGGGGAAGGAGAGTGAGGGCGAGAGAGAGCGAGAGAGAGAGGAAGGGAGAGTGATAGGAATAGGGGGAAGGAGAGAGAGGGCGCACGTCGTCAACGGGGTTGGAAGAGAGATAGAGAGAGCGGGGGGGGAAGGACAGCGAGTGCGACCATAGTGAGAGAGAGAGAGAGAGAGAGAGAGAGAGAGAGAGAGAGAGAGAGAGAGAGAGAGAGAGAGAGAGAGAGAGAGAGAGAGAGAGAGAGAGNGAGAGAGAGAGAGAGAGAGAGAGAGAGAGAGAGAGAGAGAGAGAGAGAGAGAGAGAGAGAGAGAGAGAGAGAGAGAGAAAGAGAGAGAGAAAGAAAACGAGAAAGAGGGAAAACCCGTTCGCCACAGAGCGTCTCTCTCTTCTCCGGCTATTACGAAGCACTCACTGCGAGGTACTTGGGCCGTATATGTGGACTGGTGTCGATCTGTCGAACCACTCATAGCGCCTCACGCTCTCTAGCTATACGAATAGCTCGGGGCGCTGTACCTTGGCTATAATTACGGCCGGGTGCCGATCAGTTATGCTACGGATCCGAGCGCAGCCCGACACCCGCTCCCCGGGCCCGGTTCGTGCTCATGTCTTGAGCTTCGTGCTGCGCGCTTCGTGGGGACGATGCTACTTCGAACGTACTTCGTGTTTACTGATCTGGTGAGCGGTTTTTGTGTGGCGCTATTTGGCTCGGTGTTACTTGGTACCTGGTTTCCGCGGCGGCAGAGAGGGAGAGAGAGAAAAAAAGAGAGAAAAAAGGAGAGAAAGGGGGGAGGCTAACTTTGTTTGAACCGCTGGTCAACTTCCGTAACTTTGTGACTGGGAGGCCATAGTTACTCGGTACGTACTGTGCCGGGTCGTGAGGAGCCTGGCCTAGATCGAACTTGCTTCAATCAGTTGCTCTTGCTGTTTTCTGTACTCAGCTGCAAAGGTGTTGTTCGAAATACAGACGAGTTACTTACCTGTTTGCTTGATCATGAACTGCTCTTGGTCTCGATCAGACTTGCCTTATTCAGTTGCTCTCGCTGTTTTCTGTACTCAGCCACGAAGGTGCTGTTAGAAATATGGGTAGGCTTATTCGCTTGTTTGCTTGATCGTGAACTGCTCTTGGTCTCGATCGAACTTGTCTCATTTAGTTGTTCTCGCTGTTTTCTGTACTCAACGACGAATGTGTTGCTCGAAATATGGGTGGGCTTATTCGCTTGTTTGCTTAATCATGAACTGCTCCTGGTATCGATCGCACTTGCATTATTCAGTTGCTCTCACTATCTTCTGTGCTCAGCCTCAAAGGTGCAGTTCACTTTATAGTAGAGTTGTTCGCTTGTTTGCTTGAGCCTGAACAACACTCGGTCTCGTTCGTAGTCGTGCTGTTCAATTATTTTTTGCTTGTTGATGTACTAAGCCTCGAAGGCCCTGTTTGAGTCACAGTGTGGCCACTACCTGGTCCTTATCACACTCGAGCTGCTCAATCGTTTTCGCTCGCTCGAATTGCGATAAAGCCGCTCACTTGTTTTTCTGATCCAACACTACACCCGGTCCCGACTTCTGGTGCGAGCCAATTTCTGGGTCTTTCCAACCAGTAGACGCTCCCTGGTTCTCAAACTCGGCCTAGCCAGAGAAACTCTCGTTGGAGTAGGTAGCTTCGGCTTCGCCCGCTGGTGCTCGAAAAGACGAAGGTCTTCTAACTTTTGGCGACGATAGACTCTGTAGAAGAAGGGATTTTTGAGAGCGGGGCTTTTCCGCTAGTCTAGAGGCGCCATGAACATCGGTCACTCTAGGGGTAAGAGCAGCTGCAAGCGCTTGGAGGCAGGAACAACCTTGAGGGGTCCTACGGTGAGAACGGTGGTCCGCTAGTTACTGTTAGTTGTTAGGGGTAGACCAACGCAAGGAAAACGACGGACGTGTCGAGGTGCGTGTGAACGAAGATGTGGGAGGTCCCAACAGAGGTCAAATAGGGATGGCCACGGCAAGGAGCGCCAAAAACAGACACGCACGACAACGTGCTTCTGCGTATGCCCTCCTTGTATGGAAGAATGTGCTCCCTCCTTGTGTACGAGTCGTCTGAGTCAGATTTCTCACACCGCCACATACCTTCTAATTTCTCCGCCTTGTCCGATGACTCCTCATCATTCCAATCCCCCTCCTCCCACTCCCTTAGTCTGCCTCTTTGTGCTATAGATGTGGCACCACCCCCATAGATGGGTTGTGGCACAAATGTAGATCCAATTGCTGACCCCGTTAGTATTCCATCTGTGCATTCATTCCCTGCAGCAGCTTCGTCACCCTCTTCGCCTGCATCCGTCTCAATATTCGTCAAGCCCAACCAGCCACTGTTATTTGTCGCCGTGCTCTACACCCTTCCTTCATATCGGAGTTCCCGTGGAGATACACCAATTTCTCCACTCTCTCGTGTTCCAGCTTGTTGCGATCCTTGACGTGCATGAGGGCCCATGTGCTTCAATTCCTCTCATTCGGGGCGGTGGTTGTCCATAGTGCCAATCGCTGCAAAGTTGTGTGTCCCCTCCCATGATCCTCCCACTAATCCAATGCACTGTCCATCCTCCCACGGCGCTGCACCTCCGGATCTTTGAAGATTCCTTGCTCCTTTGGAACGCATACAAGGAGTCAGTGCACTTCTCGTACTGTGGTGTCCCCCGACCCCCCACAAGATGCTCAACAACACTTCAGCACGCTGTCCCTCTGTCAACGGAGCTGCAAACGCACAATTCTTCAACGTCACTGCTGCGTCGTAAACACGTGAGATGCAATGCACATCACGATCAACGATCCGCAATATCGAGTATGCCCCCTCCATCAAATCGAACACATTATGAATATCAATCCAAAAATGGGTAGACTGCACCAACCGCTCGACAAGACGTGCCTTATCCCGAATGGCGTTTGGCCACTGTATCTTTTCCCACTCCATGCTGTTCACCGTGTCTTTCACTTGCGTCTCTTTGTCCTTCAAGCGCTTGAGCATGATAAATTTTGTCCCAGATCTTGTTGCATTTGACCTCTTAAAGACAATCTTGCCATGTCCGTAAAGCATCTCCCACGGCCCGCTGTGAATCCTGAAGAACTTGACGACTTCGTTCTCATCATTAAGGATCATTTTTGCCCATCCCATTTTCCCCAGGTCATGGAGGGACAAGTTCATGAAGTGCGGGGCACATGGGATCCATTAGATATGAGAACATTTTGGATCCTTGCCCAACGCCTTAGTAGCTGTCTTGTTGGATGCGAAGGAGTCAGTGCAAATGACACTTACCTGTCTGTTCGCCCTCAGGAAGCTTTTTCATGACTCAAGCATTGCAACGAAGTTCTTGTCTTTCCTCTTCACATGATCACACTTAATGAAAATTGGTCGGTCTCTGCCCGCTAGGATGTAGTTCAACATAGAGCGACCACAGATGTCGGTAGTGCCATCTGTGATGAGTGTACATCCCGTCTTCTTCCAGTCAACGCGTAGTTTAGCGTCTCACTCCAAATACGTCTCCTTCCTAGAGTTAAGGAGTTTTTCCCGCAATGCGTCATATAGGACGTGCTTCAACGGACAGCGAGTTGCAGACTGAGGCCCGAAGCAGAGTTCACATAACTTCTTCCAATTGTTGCTCTTCACCACATTGAACGATATGGCATTTTGCGCGAAGAGGTTCATGGCAGCCAAATCAATCTCCCGCTGGCGCGGGTTGCAGACATATCGACCCATAGGTATCTGCCTTAGTGTCCTCGCAGGTGTCGGTCTGCTTGTGACCTCTATTGCAGTTGTGTCTGTCATTGTTGTTGCCTCTCCACCTTGTTCCACAGCTGCTCCACCTCCGATGTCATCACCGCCACAAATGGCAGGAAGAGGGAGATCTTGAACTGTATGTGTTGCAGCCTTATCCTCCCGCTGCAACATCTCTGCGATGTCAGGTGGGAACTCCACACCCGTAGCACGCAACCTCTTGTAGATCATCGTGGTTACATTCGGGCACCGAGATACCTGCCTCTTCTTTGTAAAGTGTTCGATCGTGCGTGGGTGGTTGCCAGGGAACATAAGTCCGCACAAGAGGCACTTCATCTCCCTCCCGCCATGGGTTTTCGCCCCTTTTGACCTCCCGCCGCCAACCTATTCCACACGCAGTGCTCTCCCGGCTTCCATGCAAGTTTCGGGTCCACATAGAACTCCTTTGTCCTGCTTCCCGTTGCACCCCCCAAAAGCTCGCTTGCAGATGCAAATGGTCGTGCCATTGCCACAACTTCACAACCGCAGTTGTTGTTGCAAGTGCTGCAACAATTGTTAATGCGAATTTGCAAAAGATGTTGTAACAGATGCTGCTGTTGTTGCAACTGTTGCTGCACATGGTTTACAGCTCCGTTAGTCGCTGATGTGGTACTTGCTGCTGTGACTGTTGCTTGCGACTGTTGCTACAACTGTCGCAGCAATTGCTGTCGCACCAGACGCGGGATGGTCACTGCTGACGTGGTATTAAAAAAAAAAAAAAAAAATAGCACGTGTGGTAAAGGTGAGGGTCAAATGTATTTGAAAGCAGCACGTCCAATGCCTGCAATTCAAGCGGGTCCAATGTCTGCTGACGTGGCTGGCCCGCTGCTGTTCATGTGGTAGGCCTGTTGTTGAAGTGTCTGGCGTGCTGCTGCTGACGTCAGTCATCCGCTGATCTTGTGTCAGATCCGCTGCTGACGTCGTCAGCCCGATGATGGCGTCATCGGACTGCTGTTGCACTCGCTGCTGCTATAACTACCAACGTAGCTGCAACAGCAGCTACTGACGTCGGTGGTCTGCCGCGAACATGGCAGCTACACTACCTGCATACGTGGCAGGTCTCCTGTTGACATCAGGGGCCCCTATGGTGAAAGCTCTGCCATTATCTGCAACAGATTAGAAAACAACGAGCACATGGGTCGATAACAACTAGTTAGATTTATAGATCGATCGTTTGATGGATTGCTTAATTGATTGATTGACTGAATACAACATTGACCGGTAAGTTGATTGATTGGCTAATTGATTGTTTCACATGATGAATCAATCAATCAATCATCTATCTTTGTGAGGTTTTTGTTCCTCGGCAGGCCTAAGGGGCCCCCTGATATAGATGTGCCCGCCCTAAGTGAAAGCGTGCCTAACAAATCACGAAAGGCCCAGGACTGTCAATTTCGTATGTCGGGTACAGGCAGTTGTGTCGCGCCAGTTGGTTGAGGGAACCTAGGCCCCGAGCAGCAAAGATTTTCCACGGCCTTTTAGGCCTTTCTGAAATGATGGTCCGTGGTAGGATTCGCAGCAATATACACAGACAGTTGGGAAGCCTAACTGAACGAGGCCCAGCAGTTGCAGCAGAGGCCCATCCATAGCCCTGCCTCCATAGTTGGTTGGGGCTTGGATGTATACCAAGGCCCCTTAGGCCTTGGAATGTACACAGACAGTTGGTCTTCGGGTGTACAGAGGGCAGACGTGGGTGGAAGACGAGGAAGAAGGCAAGATGATGATGATGATGATGATGTGAGGGCACATACTTGGTATTGGCGATGGTCTGGATTGTAGGGAGAAGGGGCCTCGATACTGTTGTTGGTGGTGGCGAGAGCAAGCTCTCATTGACATTCGGTTTTCAGAGTTACGATTCTCCATTCGTGTTAGATTGGTGTGATGTTGCTCTCTGGATACTGATACTTTCTGGCATTCAATGTGATTGTGCAATCTGGATTTTGTCATCTCGCTATTGCTCATTTTCCTTGCACCTTGATTGAATGATTGATAAATAAAAAGGGGAAAAGGGAAGGACAGCACAACAGAAAGAGAGAGAAGAGAGAGAGAGCGAGAGAGAGAGGGTAGTAGGGTACATGTTGGGGAGGGTCGCGGTTGGAGGAGTATTATCACATAGTCCTAACCCTTCCCGACCCTCTATCTCTGTCTCTAAACCCAATCAATCAATCAATCAATCAATCAATCAATCAATCGTCGATTGATTGATTGATTGATTGATTGATTGATTGATTGATTGATTGATTGATTGATTGATTGATTGATTGATTGATTGATTTACTTGATGTGAAACGGTTTTCACCTTTGCAGTAGCAGATGCAGATCCCAGGGCTCGATCCCTAGACCTTGCCCTCAACCGTGTACAGTTAATCAAGTCGACCCTGTGTGTTTGAATACTTGACTTGTGTCTTAACAATCGCCTGTTGTCTGTTGCGGGTTAGTGTGGTCGTCGGGGCTCGATCCACAGGTTTGTCGAGTAGGGGTCATAGCTATCTAGAAGTGGTAGTTGCTACAGTCGTGAGAAGGTCAAGGTCGCAGCTGCTACAGTCCCGAAAGGCCAAGTCTAAAAACTTCCGGAAGGTCCGGAAGTGGCCTTTCGAGGATTGTTGAAGTGAGGCCAGTGGCAAGTGGGCAAGTGGGCCGTACAACCTCACCTAGTCAGCGGTACCCTGTCCCTTTCGCACTTTGTTCAGTCACCAAGTACCATGTGGGACTGTGTGCACCTTGGCCCCGGTGGAAAGGAGCAGACCAGTGACCAACCGAAGTATAAATCAAGAAGCAGCCTCTATTAATTCATTCATTCAGATCAGGAGTCGTGCAGAAGCGCTGCCTGAGCGACTTGTGCAAGGAGGTTTGCAGCTGCCTGAGGGAGAAGTGGGTTTTGAAGGAGACGAAGCGGCCATAGCCGCTAGTTAGTAGCAGCCTAGCAGGGAGTAGAAAGCAGCCATAGCTGTTGTAGGTCAGAGATAGGCAATAACGTGTATGCATGTGAGTGTTCATTGAAGTGTGTGCGTATGTGAGACATCCGGGGAGATCCAGAGTAGCGTGCATGTGAACAGTTGTTGAGGACACAATGTCGCAAGGGTGTTGTGAGGCATCGACCTTGGTTTATTTATTGAAAAAATAAAACACACAAAGGAAAGGGAGGAGACAACACGAGAGAAAGAGAGAGAGAGAGTAGTAGGGGACTTGTTGGGAAGGGTCTAGGTTGGTGGAGTATCAGTAGAGAGTCCCGACCCTCCCCAACTCTCTCTCTCTCTCTCAACCCAATCAAACAATCAATCGATCAATCAATCAAACAATCAATCAAACAATCATCAACCTTAATGGATTGATTGATTAATTGATTGATTAATTGATTGATTGATTGATTGATTGATTGATTGATTCATTCATTCATTCATTCATTCATTCATTCATTCATTCAATGTTTGATTGGTTGATCGATTGTTTCACTTGATCGATCATTCAGTCAATCAATCAATCAATAAATCAATCAATAAATCAATCAATCAATCAAACAGTCCATCAATCAATTAATCAATCAATCAAACAAACAAACAGTCAATCAATCAATCAACCAGTCTCAATCAGTCATTCAATCATTCAATTGGCGATTGAATGATTGATTGACTGATTGAGACTGATTGAGACTGATTGAGACTGATTGATTGATTGATTTAAAAGGAAAAAAAACAAAGGAGAGGGAGAGAAAGAAAGAAAGAGAGAGTGAGAAGGGGTAGTAGGGTATGTGTCGGGGAGGATCAGGGTTGGGGGACAATCCAGAGAGAGTCCCAACCCTCCCCGAGCTCTCTCTCTCTCTCTCTCTCTCTCTCTCTCTCTCTCTCTCTCTCTCTCTCTCTCTCTCTCTCTCTC